GAAAGAGTGGGTGGGGGCACATGGTGCAATGTGGGGGGCATACAGCCCCTAGGGCCCCTGTTAGTGTGGTCTCAGGGGCAGGCAGCCCCCGGACCCTTCGAACTGGACAGCCGTGAACTAGCTGATTGCTCCTCCTCCCAGAGGGGCAGTAGGGGCCCTGTGGGGATGGATGGAGGGCAGGGCCTTGAGGTCATTTTGCAGCTGTGGAGCAGATGGTGGTGCTTGTGCCCACAAGGATGGGCATGAAGGATGCAGCCTCCGTGTGAGGGCTGGGGCTGATTCCTCCCATGCACACGGACACCTGCCTTGCAGGAGACGGCAGGGCTCTGAGCCTTCTCCAATTGAGCCCAGAGCCCTGCCACTCCCCAGGAGAGAGGATTGCCACCCCCAGCACTCCTGGCTAGGCTGCTGCTCCAGCCTCTGCGGTCCTGAGATCTGACGAGGCTTCTCCCAGCAAACCCACCCCTGTGTATGTTCCCCTCCCCGGCCATCCAGGTTGAGCTGGCCTGGGATGGAAGGAAGGAAGGGCAGGGCCTGGCAGGCAGGCTCTCGGGTGGCAGCGCAGAGTGGGTGCTGGGAGGCATCTCTGGTCCAGCCATTGATTGCAGTGAGCCGGGGAGCAGGCATATGCATGGGGCTGGAATCGGATCAATCCTCATTCTCCCGCCGATCAATCGATCTGCCCTCGCCGCCCACAGGCCTTTATGGGAGGAAGAGCAGGCTGTGATGGCAGTGCGCAGAGCTTGGACCCAACGCCCCTGCCAGCCTGCCCCTTGTAGGCTGTGGGGAAGCTGTCCTTCCCTCTCACCCTCCGTCAGCCCCCATGGGGAATGTGGTTTCCAGTTCTGCTTGGGTCTCTTCCCTACCTTGGCCCTTCCCCTCCTCGGTTCGATTGCAGAGTCAATACTGCTGGAGTCCCAGTGGGGACGTGCCTGACTGATCCGAAGGAGGGGGTGACCTGGGCATCTCTGGGACACCTCACTCTTGTGTGGGCAAACCCGTGGGTCCCTGGACTGACTAGGAGAGGAAGGATGGGCTCACAGGGGGTATCTGGGAGCCCTGCAGCGGGGCTGGCTCCTGCTTTAGTGCCTGCTCTGGGAGACGCACCTGTGCCTGGCAGATCAATGCATCAGCTCCCCGGTGATGGGAGGAGACGTCCACCTGACAGTTCCTCAATCACAGCTGGGCTTCATTAGAGTTACTGACCAGCGCACTGGTCACTCGGGGCTGCAGGCAGATGGGGGCAGGGGGCTGAGACCGTGGCCTCGGCTATCGATCTCTCTGTAGCCAGAGGTCACTGGTGCACATGAAAGATCAGGGCCTGAAGAAGCTGGAGCTGGTGGGGCGGGAGCAAGGCTGAGGCCGCGCAGGGCAAAGATGACCCAGCCAGGACAGCTCTGCAGAGAAACCAGGCAAGGCCTGTCTGCCCCTGGCTCCCAGCCGTGGCTCTTCCAATTCCTGGCCCAGAGAGCTGCATCCCAGAGTCAGGAACTCTGCCACTAACCTAACACGTGGCCTTGGGCATGTTGCTTCTCCAGGACCTCAGTTTCTCCACAATGCTTCCCTGTTCCCTTGTAACGCACTGTAACCTGGCCCAGGGCACTGGAAGAGCTTGCTGCATGTCTGTACTGTGGCAGAGACCTAGCTAGGATGAAGACGGCCACTGTGATAGCCAGCAAGGGAGCACACGGGGGTCTGTGCTGTTGTCTGGATTTGGGCAGTTAGGGGTGACTGAGCCGTGGTGCGTATCACAGCGCTGGGTGGGAGGAGGGTGCACAGCTGCATGCGTGGGCACATGGAAGTGTGTGGTTGGCACAGTTGCACGGTGCCATGGGTGTGTGTGTCATTGTGTGCGCTGCAGTGTGTGGGGGCCCAGGACGGCTGCAGCCAGCTGCGGGAGGCACTCTCCTCGGTGCCTGCAGGTGTATCTGGTTGTGTCTCTCTATCTATGTATGTGGAAGCATGGGGATGTGCCTCGGGCTGCCTAGGCCAGACTTGAGCTGCACCAGCGCGTGGCTGTAGGGGCCCCTGAGCGCACGTGTGTGTGACCCTGGAGAGGTAGTGCTGCTTGCTGCTGTGGGTATGTGTACAACCGTGCAGCCGTGTGTCCACGGGTAAGGCGTGTCCAAGCCCACATGTGTCACGTGAGGCATAGCCAGGGCAGCGGTGATGCGTGTGGTTCAGTGGGGACAGGTATGTTAATGGATTCAGCAGCTGGCCCTATGCACGCTGGAAAATCACGTTCTCCAGGCCCAGGGCTGACCACTGGCCCAGGGACCTCTGAAGAGTGGAGGCTGCATTTGAAGGACCATCTGATGGACCAGACCCCTCCCTAGTGGCCTTACTGCCCTCATGTCTTCATTGACCTGGGTCTGATGCACCTGGAGCTTGTGTAGCTTCTCCCCAAACATCACAGAGGAGGAGGGGGAAGGATGGGACCAGCAGCTGTCCTGGGGGAGCTCTGCACAAGGGAGCAGGCTTGTCGCTGTTTCCACAAGGATGTTTTGCTGGCAACGTGCTTAATTTTTAAAGGCACTGGGACACCACCTGCCCTGCTGCTGGTCATGCTGGGAGAACCCCAGATGCTTCCCAACTCGTCCGGTACCTGCTCCGCTTAGTCGCTCGCCCCTCGGCCAGGTCGTGCCCTGAGCGCCGGTGGGGTGAAAGCTGGTGACGGAAGCCAACTGCGTGCTGTGGGCACTGGCAAGCCTCCAGCACCTCTCTGCCCACCTACTTCCCGAGCTATCGATCCATCTCTCCAGGGTCCTCTCTGCACCCCCCATTGCTGGGCAAGTAGGGCGCCTGCCAAGATGGCGCTAACTCTGCCTGGAGCTGCTGTGTCTTTGAGGTGAGGCGTGTAAACCGTGCCCAGCCCTTGGCCTCTCTGCTAAGGCAGCTGCAGAGATGCCAATTAAAGCCCTGCAGCAGGGAAGGAGCTTCTGGTACAAAAAACCCCCGCTCGGATCTGGGCTGAGACCAGCCAGCGGGTGGACATGGGACACTGAACTGTCTAGCAAGTGATTACAGCTTTTGCTCAGGGCTGAGGGTGAGATCTCCCCCAAAAGCCAAAGGCTGCGAAGTCCAGCATTACATCTGCAATTCCCAGGAGCCAGCACGTGCCCTCCAGCTCATCAGCTATTGGTAACTAGCACCATTGCTGCCCATGGTGCCCCGTGAGTGCCAGGCGCCAGGCCTCTGCATGGCATCAGGACTGTCCTTCAGGCCAGGTAGATCCAGGATTGGCTTTCCCAGCCCTTACCTTGCCAGGAGCCCCAGGGAGGAAGATTTAGAGGCTGTCAGGGTGAGGGCAAAAGGTCGGCAGGGGTCACAAAGTCCATTTCAAAGAGGTCACTGTCCACTTCTTTCAATCTAATGAAGCCATTATTTGCGAGAGTGACCGCTTTGCTCCCCAGCCGCTTGAAGCAGGGCAGCGCGCGGTGACCGGCTCTGAAAGAACAGGAAGGAGCCCCCTTCCTCCAGCCTTTGCCATTCAACAGGCCAGGAAAACAAATACACCGCACACCCTGATACAACACCAGGCCAGGCTTGGCCGTATCCACTGGGGGCTGCATGCGTCCTGACATGCTGTAGCTTGATGATTAACGCCGAAGCTGCAGCAAGCTCAAAAGAAGTTGATCTCCGAGGAGGATTCAAATCGGGACCCAGCCCCTGAGAAACATGGAAAGGATGAGGCAGGATTGAGGCCCCACAGATGTCCATGAGAGCTTTGCTGTTGACTTCCACAAGGCCTGATGGCAGGAGAGTTAGCATTTCAGCATCCCTGCCTCGCCACGTGACACGCAATTACTAATTGTGAGCAGGGCGATTTCTTCCCTGTCTTCTTCCCACCCAATCTGACGCTTTCTCTGCAGCTTTGGGAGTCTCCTGCCTTCCCTGTGGGGTAGGGGATGACCCCTCAGTCCTCTGCCCCAGGGTCCATCCTCAGGCTGGACAACCAGCTGAGAGGTGGCATTAATACGGCATTTCTGCCAAAGCCAGATGCCAACCCTGTCCTGGCCGTGAAGCTGGTCCAGCAGCGACGAGCCTTTGTCAGGGCTGTGCCGACAACTCCAGCTGAGTAGCTACATCAGCCCTGAGCATGAAAACACTCACAAGTGCCTGTGTGCGGGGGGTGATGTCCAGCTGGGCCTGGCTATTGGTGTGCGACAGCCAGCCTTGCTTTGGCCAAGGTGTCTGGAACCGGGGCTACTGTTTTCTTTCACAGAAGGGGCAGAAGAAATGGGAGGGAAGGTACACGAGGCCTCTCACCCCTTGCAAATGTCCCTCTCTTGAGGGAAGTCAAACTCCCTCTTTCCAGAGAGAGTGAGGAGAGCTGCACGGAGGGGGAGGAAGAAAAGTTTCTCCCTGACTTTTTGGAAACATTGATCTCGTGTCCAACGCACACGTACAAAAGCGAGCATAGAAGACAAATCCTTCTTCTGGCCATCAGGTGCACCTACAGATGGCCCAAGGAGGCCTCTGTAGCCAGCACGCCCATGCACTCAGTGTCCTAGTGGGAAAAGGAGGTTATTGGCCCTCCGGGCTATCCGGAGCATGGCAAGCTGGCCGCGCCGTGGGAAGCAGACCACAGGGAACCGGCAGGTTTGCACTCTTGGTTTGTCACTGCTGGGAGGGAAGAAAGTGGGTGCGTTGGTGCAAGGGGGCATGAGCAGAAGTGTGTGTGTGAGGCCGGGTGCACCTGCAGAGGTCTGGATGTGCTCACAACCCCCAGCTCATCTCCGAGCAGAGCTGTGCCTGCTGCAGCGGGCTGCGCTGCTCCTTGCCAGACCTTCTTCAACAAAGGCTTCATTTTTTTCCCCATTGCCTTTCGTCTCATCTTTCCATGGTTGTCCCCAGCCCAGGCAATGCTGTGCGCTGCCCCCTCCCTCCCTCCTTCCCCCTGCTCCAGCATGATGGACCCAGACATTGGAAATGTAACTGCTGACTCCTGATCTTTTTTTTCTTCCTATGGGACGTGTTTCACTAGCATGATTCAGGGCGGTGTTATTACTATTACCCATGCACTTATAGCAGCCATCCTACAGGACCTGGTCACCCAGCAGTCATGAAGGTGCTGCTCTGCACAATCCCGTGTGACAGGGAGGCCCCAGACCATCCTGGACCTTGCAGAAGGACAGACATTGTTGAAATCCGTTGTCCCCCCTCCTCCGCTGTAACACTGCGGGGGGTTTCTGGAACATCCCATCCCTGCCTCTTGGCCTAATGCTGGCTTAATGAGCCCACAAGCCTCTGCAAAAGGGCAGTGTGGTTTGACCCAAGCAGCTGCAAAGCAGGGCTGTGGGTGCCAGGGCAGCTACCCCACTCTTGCCCCGCTCAAGACTGGCCATGTTGCCGATGAGTTTAGCTTGAGTCACGCCTCGTGGCCTGCCCGTGTGGTTCTTGTTCCCATCTCCAGCAAGTGAGAGGCGGCAGGGGAGGCCAGCCACGGGGTGGGATGAGACAAAGGGAAGCAGCAGGGATCTCCTTGTGGGATCCCTGAATAAGCCTCCCCAGAGCAGAGCAGATGCCGGACCTTGTCCAGGGGGGAGAGGGGGCTTCCTCCCTTTCATCTGCCCCTTGCTGCTCAAAGGCCCGTGGTGGAGCAGGAGGGGAGGCGAGGTGTGGCTGCGGTCTCCTCTGAGGTGCTTGCTGGTTGCTTGGATGGCGGGGTATCGATGTCTCCAAGGCCAGCAGCAGAGAGAGGGTGGGAGGGAGGGCCTGGGGAGGGCAAGGCCTGGGGATGAGCATGCTTTGTTTACTCCATCTCCTGGCCTGGCTGGTCACCACGGTAACTAGAGGAGGGAGAAGGCTGGTGCACTGAAAGGTATATTATCCTAAAGAGGCCACGCCGCCGTCCGCCTGCTTCTCCAGCCCCGCCAGCCCCCAAGGTGCTGCGATCTGAACAAACACCGCGAAAAAGTGGGGAGTGGGATACGTAACGGAGGACAGCGGGCAGGGCTGAGGAAGGGAGCATGGGGAAGGAACCATTCCCCTCCTGGAGGCACTAACCAACCTGACCCAACCCCTTCTGCTTGGCTTCACCCCGATAAAGGCCTTCCTGAAACGAGCCACAGCTACCAAGGCCTCTCTGCCAACCATCTCACCCAGGGAGGGGTGAGAGCAGATGTATAGAGCTTCATCGTCTCCAAGAAGGTTTCTGAGTAAAGCTTTGTAGCTGCTTCATGACCAGAGACACACCAGAGGGGAACGAGTGATCCAGCCATCGGGGACCTCTCCCTCTTGGGAACGGGATCTTCTGGTGTTTCTGATCCCCAAATGAAGCAACTCTCCTGGGAGTCTGAGTCTGTCTGTGGCCCTCTGGCCAAGGGTGGCTTGGAGCTGTTGGTTGGACATGGGCTGGAGAGTCCTGTTGGCTTGATGGGAGGAGGGGTGGATTCTCCCGGAGAAGTCAAGTCTACTTAGAGGTACCTGTCTTCTGGAGGACAAGTGGTGGACCGTGTGGAGAACCACAGTGGTGGCCTAGATGGATTCACTGGCTCTAGATGGTCCTCACAGGCAGAGGGAAGGAGTTGTTCAGGCTGTGCTGATCTTGAATCGCCCAGACCTTTGGGGAGAAGTAAGACAGAGCCCCAACAAGGGAACTCCATATTGGGGGTTTAGAGAGATCTTCACCTCGCCTCGGCTTTTCAGCTTAGTAGGCAGAGCAAATCCAAATGAAACCTCCTCAGCCAGAGCTGTATGGTCTCACATACAACAAGAACCTTTCCTCCTCCCTGGCCCCTCCTCCGAAAACCCAAACAAACCAGCTGCTGGAAATTTGAGTGCACATTATATGCAAGAAATATGGTAAGGGTTGGTTCTCCAGCTTACAGGTGAAACAGTTAAATGCACAGGGAGCAGAACAGTGAGCAGGATCGGCTCGCTCGCTGCTGCTACCCAGTCACTGACTATAAGGAAAGATCTCCCCTGCCTTAATTCTGCCTTTTTAAAAACAAGGTGTGTGTTGTAGTCTGTGGCGTGTGGTATGCGAGAGAATACAGTAGTTGCCTGTGCTTGTATCACCATGATGCGGAGTAGAAATGCCCCATCTGCTGTGACTGCCAACAGCGAAAGCTGATCTACTTTGTCTTCAGCCCCCACTTCGTAGGGAGAGCTGCATTTTAGGTGCCCGTTGGCTTCCTTTCCTCACGTCGGCCCGGCACTTTTTCTCTCCAGACCCTGTCCTCAGGTCTTAATCTGGAGCAGGTCCTTTGAAGTCCGTGGGTGGGTTGCCCTGGATTTACCCCAGTGGAACTCGGCCCTTGAACAGGGTCTTATCTAACAGACTGCGCTGGCCTGAAACTAGAAAAAACTCTGGGGCTCTCTTCCCAGCTCTGCCACTGAGTGACCAGGCAAATCTTAGGGAAACCGAGGTACAATCTGCCAAAGGGGGCCTTCCACACTCGTGCCCACAACAGGGCAGTTGTGAGGGGCTATATAACTCCTGAATTCAATGCTGTGGGTGGTGATCTCAGCATCACCCTGAAGCCCATTAAAGCAAATGAACCAGTTTCACTGCTTTTGGCCTCTCTTGTGCTTGTTATGTTTTTAAAGGTGACTTGCTAGCAGAACTGGTTCCACTGCACATGAGGTGAAAGCAAAGGACTCACTTGTGTCTGCACCAGCTGCCTTGGGAGATTGCTGATGAGAGAGGGAGACTCACACCCAGAGCTTAGGTGAGGAGTGACCAAAAATGGCTGTTGGGAGGGCTACTTGAGGTGGGTTTTTGTGGGGTTTATTCAAGCTGCCAGAGGACGAGTATCCTCTTCTCTCACTTGCACTCCAACCTTGTCAGTAGTGCCAGCAGAAAGGCTGGGGAGTGAGTTGATATGGAGATGCATCTGGCTCCTCTGGATAGTCCTCCAAGGCTCTGAGTCAGTAAAGCACCTGTCTTGTTTGCCGTTGCGAGTTCCAGGCAGGGAAGGAACCGTGCGGATGCTGTACACCAAGAGGACTTCACCCTCCAAGGTTTCTAATGAGGTTCTGCTGGTGTCAGTGCTCTGTGTCGTCTATGTAAGTTGGTGTATTGGTGCCCATCAATGGACAGACAGAGCAGTCCTCAGTGTCTCCTCCAGGAAACAGCATGTCCCAAGAAGACTGCAGAACTGGGCCAGGTCCTGGAGAGAGGCTGAGGCCTGGTAGCTGCTGCCAAAGCCAATGGCTAGTTTGCCTTACAGGAGAAGCTGGGAGGCTTGGAATTGCCTTGGGCTGAGCTACCCTCCCCAGATGACTAAAGGGCATTCCAAGAATGAGCCCTGCTAAGGAAGGGCTTGATCAGTGAGCAATAGGAGCTGCCAGTAAGGGCTGAGTCAGGAGTGGAGGTGTGACTGCAGGCTCTTCTGGAGTTGAGATAAGTCCCTACCAAGCTGCCAGGGCAAACCCCCATGTACAGTCCCTGATCTCTCACTCTAATGCTTTTGTGTCCCACACAGATGGCCCCAGCTGAGATGGAGTCTTAGACTGTCATGTGCCACCTCCCTTAGCAAGGCAGTGATGGGTGAGGAAGCAAGATACCAGGCCCCCAGGCCACCAGCACCTCACACTGATCTCTCCTCCTACTCAGTTCCTTGTATTGCTGGGGAGAGAGCGTGGAGTCCATTCCACCCCTGTTCACTTTGTACCAGGGCTGCTCTGGACCAGGACCCTGTGCTCCCTCTGAGCATGCTGTCTCCTCAGCTGGATTTGGAGAAGCTTCAGTAAGAAGAGGTCTAGCCCCCTCCCCCCTCCCCAACATAAGACAGCCCCTGCCTGGTGTGATGTTTTCCTTGTTTAGTGCATCAGAAATGGCCTGGAGTCATCCCACAGCCTGGAGTCCTGCCTGGGACAGTGGGACCAGCTCTCCGGAGCAACATTTCCATTATCTGTGTAGCTACTTCTGCGGGGATGAGTGTGAATGTTTGCAACAGCTTCAGGGCTAGAGAAGTGAAAGGTGTCCCCCTATTTATGGACCGTGTGTGTTCTGCAAACTAAGCTGCCTTCTTGCCTCCCATTCCACATACATCGCACAGCTTCATTAGCAGTTATGAATAGCTCCAATTATTGCCGTCCCTCCAGAGAGAACACAACTCAATGGCCAATTAATACAACTATATGCAACAAATCCTTCTTCACTGGACCCTCCCCAGCTTTCCTTTGGCTTCCATTTACATCCCCTTCCATGATAGTCAACCCCATAAGCAAAGATAGTAGGAAATCGGGGAAAAAAATAGAATTATAGACAATGAGGGTTGGAAGGGGCCGCAGGAGGTTGCACAAGTCCAACCTCTGCTCGAAGCAGGACCAGCCCCAACTACATCATCCCAACCAAGGCTTTGTCTACCCAGGTCTTAAACACCTCCAAGGATGGAGACTGCACCGCCTCTCTGGGGAGCCTGTCCCAGTGTGTTACTGCCCTCCTCTCAGAGAGTTTTACCTAATATCTAACCTCAACTTCCCTTCTGCAGTGGGGGCCAAAACTGGTCACACACTCCAGATGTGGCCTCACCGGTGCCCACTAGAGGGGAAGAATCACTTCCCTCGAATAAAATCGCCCGTGGTGGGTGTTTGATGGGCATCAGAGAGATTCACAAGCAAGAGCAGGGACAAGTCCACGCGCTCGGCACCCCGGTAGCCGCTAGC